CAGCGGCTGCATTTGAAAGCGTCAGAATGTATGTGATACGATTACATGCGGCTAAGAAGAGATCACTATCCCTGGATGCATGATCGATGCCATTACATGTAGCGTGCCAGCATTCTATGGAATTCAAATGCAGCCATTGTCACCCAATCATTAACTTGAATGGATAATAGCTGACGTTGTAAACGGTAGATTAGGGATTCCTGCTGCAGGAAATCGCAAGTTCTTGCTGCAAGAATCCCTACACACACCCAAAATATAAGTGTGGATGAGGGCTAATTTATCACATTTGCTTGGATTCATAGCAGATTCTACACTCTAACAGGGTTATTCACTGCAGGGTGAAGAGTTTGGAGAAGGCAGGAGAAGTGAGCAATCTAGGACAACATAGCTGATTCAGAAAACTTCTCCAATTCGGCTCACTTTCTACTTCAGCTATGTTGTCCTAGATTGTTCACTTCTCCTGCCTTCTCCAAACTCTTCACCCTTCTGTGAATAGACCCAGTAGTAGAACATATATATTGTATAGTGATGAACCACAAAAAGATAGAATAGGTCTGTTGCGTGCCAGGAGTACAGATGCACATCACTGGCATTCTAAACGTGTTTGTTCTTAACGAGAGTAAAGATAGCAGAACAGCATTTGCCTGGGCAACATGTTGGGGCAGAGGGATGGATTTCCATTGCGATTTCCCGCGTTTGTACAGCACAACAGAAGGTGCTTGGAGGCAGAGAGCAGAGAAGCGTGAATCTTGTAACAGGAGTCTGTATGAGTGGCTGCTAATAAGACAGAACGAGATTCAGATGCTCACGCTTGCATTGCAATATGAATATAGAAATATCACAGGAATATAGAGTCTGCTCTGTATGTTTGTTGTCTGTTTATATGTCTATCAGTCGTTCTATTAATCCATTGTCTATTCCTCTCTATTTCATGCTGCTGCTCTGTTTTGATAGTCAGGTACTAAGAAGAATTGTCCAAATCCTTTAAAGAGCTATAATCAGGGATAACAATGAGAGTAATCCAATTCTTAATCAGTTTACAAAATAAATATGAACTATTTGTGACAGACAATACCCTTCAGACTGTGTTCTTGCCTTTATCTTATGTTACACAGACATTGTTAGAAGGACAATTGTAGTGTATTTATTAGGGCTCATTTCAGCGAATGCAGATAGATGGGTATGGATATACGGTATATAATACTCCTGTATTTGTGGCACCCAGAAGCCCCAACTGCAATGTTTTTGTGTCTATAGGATTGTATGGAGAGAATATGTTGTACACAGGTAAATGTACACACAGACGTTTACACACGCACAAGCGCAATTTTTGAAATGTGGAGGTTTTGGAAGAGGGATCAATGTATTTTATATTAATCACTCAGTTTCTCTGCCTAACTGTTGACATATGTTGTCTGCAACACAGGAGGGACTTTGCTTTCACTGAGCCAGATGATTTTTAGGGTAGTAGATTAGACCAAGACTAGACTGGAATTCAAAAAGAGTGTCCCAGACACACAAAAAAACTGTCTTCTGTTAATGTGACAAATGTCGCAACTGGCAAGAGACTCATGCGCCTATTGTAAAAATGTACACAAATTTGTTCATGGAGCCATGGTGTCCAGTCTGGGCACGCCATCCTCAGTGCAAGTTCAGCATGGCCCACACAACATTATTGGTTGTTATAATACCGTGTGGCCAACAATGTTCTAGCAACCAATGACGCTGTGAGGCTGAGAGTGTCCTAGCAACCAATGACGCTGTGAGGCCGACGGTGTCCTAACAACCAGTAACTGAGGGGGCATGACCTTGCTCACTCTAAAGAAACATTGGTCCTATTTACCTCAAGTTTTCCTAACTTTGATATGGCAGCATTTGTTTATTAATTTGTCTTAGCCATAAGGACATAGAAATAAGAACTTTATTAATTTGTTGCACTTGTCGGGAATTAACTGTGGAACTGTTGCAAACTTCTTGTGAATTTGGCACAAGTGTTCTAGATACAGTCATAATGCTGGGATTGAGTCGCAAAGCCTTTTTTTTTTTTAATTGCCTCTATAAACAAAAAAGTTAAACAGACAAAATGTTCAGTCTATGAATTTGTGTAACTGGTTTAAATGGGTCTCATTTATTAAAGTGTTTAAAAGAAACCATTCCAACCATCCTTTTTTTTTCCTTTTCAAACATCTAATGTAAACATGACATTTGGAATATAATTGCCTTGGATGTACAAATCCTTTGGTTTTGTATTGCAGTTCATTGCTTTTAAACGTGTTTTAACATTTCGGTTTTCACTGGGCATTCACGTGGGAAATGTGTAGTGAACATGTAATTATTAAATATAGCCACACCTGTGTTGTGCCAATTAATGTCTATTCCAACTAGTGGCAATTTCCAAGCCAGCCAAAGATGTGCACCACACTAAAGGTGCCCATACACCTTACGATTATCAGACCAAACTTTTCGTCCGATGATCGAATAGTCGTACGATTTTCGTACG